TAAAATAGTGCAATGGTTTTTGATAAGTACAAACCAGTAGAGCTACAGTCTCGACAGAGACTTCTGGTTCTAATTTGTTGTTATTTCCTTAAAGAATGCAAAAAATCATGATGCGACTACATTGATTTCATAACAGGAAGTCTGTTTCTATCCGGTGAGGGCGCTGCAAGCGCAAGAAGATAGTGATTGTGACGTCATAAGTCGGCAGTCCCTTGGTTTAAGGTCTATGTAAATACAAATATTACGAAAAACTTGTGTTTTAAAATTGACGTCATCTCGCCTACTATGACGTCATAATGTAGCACTGGTTTAGTAAAGGTAGAATATTTTGTTTGCTTCCTTATTCCCCCTGCGTTGTTTAACATTTTTTATGAAGAAACAGGATGTGTTTGTGAAACAAACCGGCGGAAACAAAGTTCAAAAAATCTATTTTTAGCATATTGGTCACAGTAAAGGTCATAATGTCATTGCTCATGGTGTCATTTGAAAGGACTGTATTAGTGGAGTATGCATACCTAATATGAAGTCTCTATCTCTTATTGTTCAAAAGTTATGGCAAAAAGTATAAAAAGCTATTTTTAGCATATAGGTCACGGTCACAAGATCATTGACCTTGTCGTCCTTTGAAAGGACTTAATTAGTGGAGTATGCATACCAAATATGAAGTCCCTATCTCCTATTGTTAATCAAAGTACTGAAAGTACTGAAAAACGGTTAGCATGCTTTCATTGAATATGTACAGTGAACAATAACAAAACATGCATTGAATGATGATTTTCAAGTAGGCATGCATATATTTTTCCAGTGTCATCAGCGAAGAAGCAGACACACTGAATTTTGTAGTACTTAACTAAATGGTATAACTGTGACGGTTTTGGTTTTTATTGAATATTTAATTTGTCTTTATTAGCATATTTAGTGCCTTAAATTACCTTAAAGTTTATACATTTTCCGATAGTCATCCCTGATGTTCAAAGTCCCGTATTTGTAACTTCGTAACTTTATTTGTTTTCACATGTGCTCAAGTTAAATTTACCTCCATATTGGCTGTCATTCCGAACTTATTTTGTATCCTGACTTTTCATTGGTTGACAGATAGTACTTTGAACATATCAGAAGTCATTTTAGATATTCACATTACTATTTCAAAGCTACTTAGTTAGAATGATTTTTATTGGTCAGAGTTTATATATAAACGGTAACAGCGGCATTTTCAAGTCACTCTAGGCTAAAGAACCCAAAGGTTCAAGCTTTCTCTTCTTCTCTCTTAGGGTTAAATCCCGGACTGCTCGTGCAGTCTCATTTTTTTTTTGTTTAGGACACGATCTAAATTCTGTAAAATGTAACTAAGTCCTTAGCTAGAGTCACATTGGTTCAAGGATGAATTAGATATCTCTAGGCCTTTATAGTGTTATTAATAATAAATAAATTGCCTTGTCCCTTGTGTAATAAATAGGGCTTTAGAAAATTTTCAGTCTACTTGCATAGAGTCTCACTATAATTTTTAGGGTTTTGTATGGAATCATAAAATCTCTTAGGTGTATGGAAGCTCACTCCCATCTATTTTGGTAGATTTTTCTTAGGGCATCACACTCATTTTCTCCCATTATATTTTTGTTATCAAATTATGTTTACTTTGTTATTATTTATTCAGTTATTAATTTATTTTTCTACCTCATTTTTTTTGTTTACATTTTGAGATTATTTTGGAAACTTATTTGTTATTTGTTGTCAACTACAAAATATTCAGAATTTCACCATAATAAATTAATTGTTAAAATTTAAACTTTCTTCTTATTTCAAGGTGTTGATCATAATCTAGGAATCTCAGAACCTGGGTTGAATAAAACAGGACCAGTTATTGTACCTTTACATAGTTAGTGGGCTTGGTCTGTTCCTTAGTATTACTTAGTAGAGTTTAAAGATAATTTTGCATACTTTGGGGCAGATTGAGTACACTTTGCGGCCATAGACAAACTGGTTCCCGTTACATAACCAATAACATCCCAGACTGATGTCACAAATGTTTGTTTCAAAATAACAACCTGAGATTTTCAGTTTGAAAGAAAGTTCAATTTCAAAAATTTCTCCCTAATTGTCTCCATTGGTTGCGTCCAAAAGTGCTCAGAACGAAAAAAAAAATATGTTGATGTTGCAAATTTAATTGGTTTTCATGCTCTATTGATTCTGAAATTAGGTAACTGTAAAGACTACTATAGCAAACAACTCAAAAAGAAAACAAAATGATAATTCAAATTTTTTAGATTAATTGATTTGGAGTACTGTACATAGATCTTTAGCTGGCTAGTCTGAGAAAAACGGATGGACGAGCAGAATATTAATTAATTTCGGAGAGCTTCAGTTTTGTAGGCTTACTGCGGGTCAGCAGGTGTGACCTGTCGTTGGGGATGCTTACTTCTCCTAGGGACCGGAATTTTCTTTTGAGACCAATCGCTGTTCATTCTGTATTTTGATACAGATACTGGGTACATCTGTTTATTAATATAATGGACTATTTCTCTCATAGGAAGAAAGACAAGTAAACAAGATAATAAAGTTTTAAGAAATGTACATTATTGTCTTTTTATACAATTAAATACACAATCAAATCAAATGGTATATGACAATTATTTAAAACAGAGTCTTGCATGATATGTAGAAACGAACATATACTGAGTATTTGGCAAATATTTTTCATGAAATATTGTGCAAGAATTTAATTAACCTAAGTATCATTGTCACTTTCTTCAATATGTCGCATAAACAATACATTGTTTTGTTTTTTTTTTCTACTAAAAACAAGTATGCGAATTTCTATCAATATGTCTGTAAGCATCTGTATTTTAATTTTTATTTCTTCTCAAAGGCTCAAAATGATAATTAAAAAATTTGACAAATTCAAATTTAAAAAGTATTTTTATAACTTATACCTTGCATAGGAATTTAGCAAACTTTCAAACATAATCATTCATTATATATAATTTTCAATTTGTTTTTATCGTCAAGATTTTTTATGCCTCTTTTTTCTGTGCATATTTTATATCGGCTGATTTTTAGAAAAGGATCGAATGCCGATTAATTTTTTTTCTCAAATTTTTTTAAAATTAATTTTAGTATTTTCAGGCTCCCATTATTTTATTTTAAATAAAAACGTGATCGTTTAAAATCGTTTGTAATAATTAGACTGAGTACAGAATTTATCCCTGGAAACAAAGCTTTTATCATCTTTTAAATAATTTCAACTGAGGAAAAAGGAGAAGAAAAGAAACGTTTTATTATACAAGTAATCCATAACTGTACAACTTACAGATGTATTTCAGTATTTTTATATAAAGGCTTTCTTCGTGTAATACTATTACTTAAGTTAATAAAAGGGATGCCTTAATATTTTGGAAAATGAAACTCGATCAAGAGATTCTCCGATGTTTTGCAGTCGGTAATAACCTTCAACCCCTTTAGTCAGTAATTAACCCGTCCTTCCTGTGCCCAGTAGCATAATTCGGTCAAATATAATTTATTGTTCATGAGGGGTGCCTTATAATTAATCACAGGCACCTGAATTTTTATCAGTAAGTCTTTAAATTAGCAAAATATCGAAACATTCTACCCCCTATATATACATGTATAAATACACAAGGTGTGCAATGCCATTTTGACCCCCTGTTCGATTCAGGCTTCAATTTAACACACAAATCGGAAATGCCTACTGGTTTTCGTGTAACATTGGGTTCAAATATGATATTTCTCGCTATACATTTCTTCCTAAAGTTTAAATCTAACGCGTTGATAATGTTATCAGCTAAACTTCATGCTGACTTCGAATTTCGTCACAGAGCCCGATCGCCATCAGCTGATGTCACGGAAATTTAATCTCGACACCAAATGCTCCTATACATATACTTTTATAAATTTATTTCATTGACAAATAAAATCAGGAAAAAAAAAACAAACAAAAAAACGAAAGATTATGCTGTTTTGAAAGTCTTGATTTTATTTAACATATGCTATATGTGTTAGAAACAAATTATAGGTACTAGGTAGACGCTTTGTTGAAGTTTCCTTGTCGATAGGTAGCGCCTTATGGAAGTTTCCGGTGTCGATAAAAATCGGATACATGCCATAAAGCGATTAGCGAAGCTAACCGCTTAAAAAGTTATGACAAACAGTGGAAAAAGCTATTTTTAGCATATAGGTCACAGTCAAGTTCACAAGGTCATTGACCTTGATGTCATTTGAAAGGACTTTATTAGAGGAGTATGCATACCAAATATGAAGTCTCTATCTCTTACGGTTTAAAAGTTTTGGCGAAGGTTAAAGTTGACAACAGAAAGACAGACAAACAGACAGGACAAAAACAATATGCGCCCCGAAAAAATTCGGGCGCATAAAAAAGTTATCTAAGGAGTACTATAGAACAAATACACCTTTACTTACTTTAGAATATATTCTGTAAGCACAGGTAAACAATACAAGTACAAATATACAAAGATACAGTAGGCAAAGTTCTGCACGGGCTGGCGGGAAGAGAGTCTCTGTAGATCTATATTTAGAATCGGGAAAGTCCTTAAGTAAGTCGTACGAAAGTTCATTCTTTACAACACTCCTCCCCGTTCCAATTTGAATGTTCTGTATTTGAGTTATTTAAAATTTTCAATATCAATTTAATTTACAAAATATTACTTTATTAACAACACCTATTAACTACTATAATGGCCACAATTATTAAAACAATTATACAAACAATAAAAACCTATTTACTGTTAACATGGCCATGTAATAATATAAAACATCATCACATCCAGCACCGATGAAGCAGAATACAGAGCACAGAATAACATCCAGCGCTGATAAAGAACACAAAAGACATCATCACATCTGGAGCCGTTCGAGGAATTTGATGCAATGGAGACTGAATGTATCACTGTCAGCACACTTAATAGCAGCATGAAGGCATCTTTAAAATAAATATTAGATATCTTCAGCACACTAATAAAGCGGCATGCACTTGGTCACCAGTCTTTCCTGTTTTAACATCCGTAGAGCTTCCGTGCATTCATGACGGTTGTTCTCATCAGCTCTGGGGGGCGCATGTTCAAATGGACGGATAAATAAGCTGCTACTTCTCCCAAATAAGCTGGAGTACTCACGATGGCACCTCCTAAAGGAAAGTAGGGCGCATCGGTCTCCAGGAGCAGCTTATTATGAGGGATAGCCTGTAACCCTTCCAGCTGTTCATGGTCAAAGGCTCTGACGGCAGCTGTCACTCCAAAGTACGTGTTTGGAAATTTCCGCAGCCAAGTCCTCACCACGTCAGCTCTTCCCATGAAGCAGTGTACATGGATTTTCTGTTCTGGGTCACAGATATCCTCCATTAACATGAGGCAACGGCCATGAACATCTGAGGAATAAGTGTCTCCTCTTGGTCCTCTGAGGTGGAGAACAAGGGGCTGCTCGACTTTTGTTAACTTCAGAAGCCTAACAAACACTTCTTCTTGTCTACACCACTGGGAAGGAGCAATGGTTCTGTCTAGGCCGCATTCCCCCAATGCCACTACTTTAGGATGTTCTAGGAGTTGTTGCATCTTCATCGTTTTCTCGACGGTGAGGGTATCATAATGCTTGGGATGAACTCCAATTGCCACTTTCCAGGGACCTTGTAAGGTGAAGTTTACCTCTGGATAGGACTTGGGCTCACTATATACAATAATTCCCCCAACTACGTCTACCTTGATGGCTGGCTTATAGGAAACATCACTGGAGAAGCTGTATTGCAGTAACTCCTCTACAGTACGTCCTCCAGACCTCCCCCAGACTGCCCTAAGTGAACGGTCTAGGTGGAAATGGGCATCAAATACCTGAGGCAATGATGTG